CTCTCTTCTTCCATCTGCGTCATTTCCAAATTTCTGTCTTCAATATCACTAATTTTTTCCCCCATCTGGTCAGCTCTATTTCCTAAGTTTGCTATTTCATTCTTCACCTCTTTTAATGAGTTCTTCATCTCCAGAAAATGCATTTAGTTCTTTTTTAAAGTTTCAATCTCTCTGGTAAAGTATTCCTTTAATTCATTGATTTTATTTCTGTGTTCATTAAATTGTCTGAGTTTTCTTGCCTCTCATTTTTTTTCAGAACTGCAATCTTGAATTCTCTGTCATTTAAATCACATATTTCTATATCTTTAAGTGTGTTTTCTGGAGATTTTTCATTTTTTTTTCTGAGCTGCCTTGTTATCTCGGTTGTTCATGGTATTTGATGAATTATTTCTCCACCTAGTTATTTAAGGGAATGAACTCTGCTTTTTAAAAATTTTTATTATTATTAAGAGTGAAAGTGAAATCTCTTTAGCAGGTTGCTAAGAAGGGGTTTTTCTGTTGTTTTCCAGTGGGGGATGCCTGCACCACCAGGCCTCCCGGATCTCTGCTGGGTAACAAAAATGCCCTTTACTCCTGGGGAGGTGTGTGTCTCCTCAGTGACCAAGTCACCTTGATTTCAGGACTCCCGTGGGAGAATATGGTGGGTGATGGGGTTTTGAGCTCCTGAAGTCCCAGTGCTGCCCCAGTGGCCAGATTCAGTGTTGTGCTGCTGAGGTGTACCAGGTGCCTCCACTAGGATCATTATCCATGCATGGAGGTGGGGTAGGTTGGGAGAGGGTGCTGGTGTACCTGTGACTTTGTTTTCAGTAATGGTGGCTGTCAGGCCTCAGCTGCTCTGCCTCTGTATCTCCACCCCTGTCACTAGGGCCAGCTGCAGTGTACGTCTACAGCTCAGAAGCTGTCTCCTCAGTTCTTGGCTGCAGACTCCCTGCTCTGTAGCCTGACACTTTTGCTGCAGTTTTCCTTGGGGCCCACCACTAGCTCTGGGAGAGTGAGGGGAGGTGAGCTTTGGAGGGTAGGGGAAGGTGGTCAGGTTCTATGACTCTGTTTTCTGCCTGGCAATGGCAGCTGCTAGAACACAGCAATCATACCTCTGTATTCTGCTTCGCCCTAATCACTGGGTTCTGCCATAGTGTATGCTGATCATTCAGGCAGGAATACTTGGGGCTACAGAGAGTACACACCACAAACTAACTTCTCCCCTCTCCCCAAGTCCTGCAGGGAGCTCCGAGCTGGCTTCACAGCACCCATCTCTGCTCCTCTCCCTTTCCTTCTCCCTTGCTCACCTGATTTGCCCACTTTCAGATGCTTTGATGCAGAGATCTCTCAGAAGTGTCTGTCAGGCTGGGAATCTTACATTGGATTATAGCTGTTCAATTTGTAGTCTCAAGGGGAGGAATCAAAGGGACCCCTCACACCACCATGCTTCTCACAAGTTACCTAATAATTTTTTAAAAATTTTCGGATCACCTGGGCATTTTCTTATGTCAGAAATGGAAATAGTTGAGAGAAACTATGCAAGATGTACCCTCTTGCTTTCCACTCTTCCACTCCTCCACAACCCCTCTTGCAAATCCATGAAGAAATTAACAGCGAAAGTTCAAGGTGGCTCTAAGGAACTCATAGCACGGATAATTTCAAGTATGCAATAGTAGCCTCTAAAATAGTGAAAGACTGTTTTGGGAGCTGTCACCCAGCCTTAAGGGGTCACTAGGTATTAGAGCTACTGTTTAGACCCCCTGGCATATAGCCTTCATTTTTAGCAACTCGCTAAAACTGCAACTTTAGCATCAGTGATTTCTGACTGTCAAAAGTAATCTTAGTAACTCAGGCTATATTGACTTCTCCTTAGCATGTGAATCTATTAGCCATCACGTCCTTCATTCCCACTTAGATATCCCAGAGGTATTTTTGACTTTACCTTTTCCTTATCCTTATAATTCCTTCACTCATCTAGGTCTATGATCATCCTTTGAATATTTCTAGCATCTACTCCTTTGTATATAATTTTGTCCTAATTCTGGTTCTGGTCCTTATAACCTCATGCCTACAATAACACAGAAGCCTCTTCACAGTTCTCCTACTTCCAGTCTTCCATCTCTTAAATGTAAACTTCGCAAGGACAGGGACTTAGTTCATGTTTACTAAACTCTGTGTACAGCTTTATCTTATGCTCCTGGACAATGCCCAGCACATAGTAGTAGTTCAATAAATATATGCTAAATGAATATATATGCTAAATGAATATATATGCTGAATTATATGCTGAATGAATGCAACAAATGACTGCCAGATTAATCTTAATTATTTCCCTGTTCAAAACATTCAATGAAATGCCTATGCCTATAGAATATCCTACCATTCAAGCCATTCTACAATCTAACCAACGCACCTTTAAACTCAGCAACCTGATATCCTCATAATCCCTTCATACTCAATCTAGATGTTTACATTTATAATAATATCCTTGCTTACACTGTTCCTCTGCCTGGAATATTCTCCTCTTTCTTGCTACATTTGAAATCTCACTAATCCTTTAAGGTCCAGCTATTACACTGCCTCCGCATGGCAACCTTTCCAAACAACTCTGGTTCTTCCTTATAGAGCATTTATTACCTATAGTGCTCATTTGATGATTTATTATGTGTGCCCTTGCGAAAATCTTTTATTGCTATCTTACTCTGAAAATAAATTTTCCACATGCGTGTCCTGCCTTCTAACTAGATTTTAAATAAATTGGTGGCAGAAATTTTTATTCTATTAAAAATAATTTTCAAACAGGTAATACATAAAGTATAAAAAATGAAAAGCAAAGAAGGATTTAAAGAGAAAATTAAGTCTCTTTCCCACCCAATTCTCTACCTGGAGGCAACACTGCTACTAGTTTCTTGTAAATTCTTCCAGAAATAAGCTATGCATATACAAGCAAGTATACATATATAATCTTTTGTAGAAAACATAAATGGTAGCATACCAAATACATTAAACAGCAAGTACTCAATAAATGTTTGTGGGTGAATGGATAAACTTTTCTATTCTTTGTTTTTTAAGTTAATATCTTAAGTTAATATATCTTAGATTTCTTTTCATAGGAAACTGCTTTATTTTTCTATAGCTGCATCCTATACCATTGTACGGATGTACCATAGTTTATTTGACCGATATTCTCTTAACAGACTTTGACATTATTTATAATCTTTTGTCTCAGGAATAATGTTGCAATTTTTAAAAAAATGAATATACTTCTTCAGACATATATTTACCATGCTGAGACAAGAAATTCCTAAACAAGGGCTTGCTGGACAATGATCTGCATTTGATAAATAATGTCAGCTTGCCCTCCATAGAGGTTGCAACCAGTTATTCTTCCCCAATAATTGATGACTGTTTCCCTGTATCCCTGCAAACACATTGCCAAAGTTCAAAAAGTTTGATAATAAAATTTGGTGGGTTAAAAATAAAATTTTTAAATAAAATTTATTTTAAAATAAAATTTTGTTATTCTTACTCTGAGTAAGGTTGAGCAAATTTTTCATGTTTAAATCTTTCTTTCTCCATAAACTTTATTATTTTTGATCATTTTAAAAATTCAGTTATTCACTTTGCTCTTATTTATTTGTAAAAGTTTTATATATTGCCATACCTAGCCTTCTGTCTATTGTATACATTATGAATTTTTCTCCAGTTTGTAGTTTTTTTTCTAATATTGTTTATGTGGTGTTTCATGTGGTATTTTTTATTTTTATGTAGTCAAATTTATTGATTTTTCTTTCAATAGCTTCTGAGTTTTTTCTCATACTTAGGCCTATTCCACACCAAGACTACTAATTTTTTCCTGTTTTTTACAAACTTTCATAGTCACATTTAATATTTAAATATTTGACTGACTTGAAATTTATTTTTAAAAAATAAGGGTAGAAAGCCAACTTAGTCTTTTCCAAAATACCGTTTATTAATCAGTGTTTTCTCCAATGATATGAAATAGCACTTTTATCCCATACCACATTCCCAAATGAATTGGATCTATTTTGATTCTCTAAGTTCTATCAATCAGTCTATGTTATCCATAAGCCAGCCATCCATGTTATTAAGTAGCTATAAAATGTGCATATTTGAAAAGATGGTTTCCTCTTTCCTTTTTTATAATTTTCTTGACTGTTCACATATTTTCCTAGATAAACTTTAGAATTAGTTTTTGCACTCCCTAAAACAGACAAACAAAATCCTAGTAGAATTTATTAGGGTTCTTTTAAATGTACAAACTGCTATTGGGAGAGCTGACATTCACATAATATTTAATCGTTGCATCCAAGAATATGGGATGTAGTTCATTTATTAAAGCTTACCTCCGTGTTCCTCAGTAGCATGCTAAAATTTCTTCAATAATTTATCTTGAACATTTCTTTTAAAGTTTATGGCTAGGCATTTTTTGCTTTTCTGATTGCTAATGTAGATGATCTTTTCTTCCTTCAAAGTTTCTAAAGGATTATAGAAGGCTACTAATTTTAGGATATTAATTTTATATCTACTAACCTTTACTGTTTATAATAATTTTTAGTGATTCCCTTGGATTTTCTGAACATACATGCAAATCGGAAATTAATGATTTTTATCTTCTTTTAAATTTCTCTATGAATTATTTCTTTCATTTACTTAAGTGCATTATTTACATCTTTATCTGGGTCCTGATATTAATAGGAATGCTTATAATTTTTCCCTACTAATCATCATGTTGGCTTTTGAGTTGAAATACATATATTTTATCTTGTTATATTAAGGAAGTATCCATCTAATCCTACACTATTAAGAATTAAAAAAAATTTTTTTAGTCAGGTAGGACTTTTTATCCTCTCAATGCCTATACTGTCTCAAATATCATTAAATTTTGAACAACAATAAAAATAATACTGTTAAGAAATGACCATTTTATTTCAATTTATGTCCTCATCAAAAACACAAATGAGGATTTGTTACTATTTCATAAGAGATCTACTTCTTACCTAAAATATGGCCAGTGGGACAATAGCAATTTCCTTCTGCAGTTAAACCACCAGGGCAAGAAATGCAGTTCCAGCCATCTTTGGTAACACCTTTCTAAATTAAAAAATAAAAAATAAATACACACACTCACACACACACATATGTATGTATTCTCCTTCTTATTCAACTTTCTCCTTCTTAATTGATCATGTAAGTCCAAAAAGCCATAATACTGTATAATTTGCAGTTGATATTCATATAAATACACATATGAGCCACATAAAAATTCCCTGGATAGCCAATTTGTGCTTATATTCCAAAATTAAGATATACATTATAACTATGTATCAACTACTATTAACTGTGGGCAACAGTCCTTTCTGCCTCTTGATTTTCAGTTCAAATAAGTCTTTACTTTCATAATTAATAATATCATTCAGTTTTCCATTTACAAAGATAAAACAAAATTCAACAGGATTTAATAAATAGCCAGTTAACAGTTTAATATTACCTGTTTTAAAGTAATTATTCTAATTTTTAAAAATTCAAATACACTAGCTTTTTAAAATTAAGTTGTGATTCAAATGGGTGAATGTTATAGTATATAAATGATATGTAAACAAAGTTGTTAAAATTAAATTGTAAGTATATTTCCTTCTATCCATTAATAGTGTGTACTAGTAAAGGTTTTTGATAAAATACCTTTTCTTAAATCATACTATATGATTTAGGAAAACCTGGGGCAAAAATACAATAATTGTATTACTAACATGGATGTAAACAAAATTAATAGAGAACTATGGCAATAACGAAATAATACTACAAATTAAATTTTGGTTGAAAAACTGGATATAGAGATATATATCCTATATTTGACAGCACATTTACATAGGACTATTTAAAAATTGTTATCTTAGTAATGTCACTGAAAAACAAATCTACTTGGTATCACTTCATATTGGTGGCTATTTTATCATAGGTTATTCAGCTAGGATCAATATTTCCAAAAATATAAAATAAGTATCAAAATGACCATCAAACCCGTATTAGCCATAAAGTAGGACAACTAGAAACTTTGTATTAAATTCCCAGATTCAATGCTTTTCTAATACAGATAATGAGAAGAAACATTACTATAAAATCAGAACTGCCACACAGAGACTCCTAATTATTCAAAATGATTGAAATGTATTTCTGTTAATTAAGAATCATCATATACTAAAACTATTAATTTACTAATTTTCCGAAAGTTATGATGAAATGAAATGACTAAAAAAACAGCGACAGATATTTTTAAACCTATTTAGCAATGCAACTGGCATTTCATGAACTTATCACACCTTACATATCATTATGAATATTAATTATTATATAAAACTGTTGACACACAGGTCTAAAGCACTTAATCTGTACCAGTCAGAGGATACGCACATCCCAAATTGCTCTATAGATGTATGTATCAATCATGTTTTTCTTTATAACTGAGTTACTCTATGAGGAAAAATAAAGAAACAAATATTTATTGCTTTGTGGGTTTTTTGGATTTCAGATTTTAAAAAGTAAAGCAATACATTCCTGTTTTTTCCAAGTTTCCATAAAATTTCACTGATCTCTCAAAATTTACTCTAGTAAAAACAAAGCTTAAAATTTTTTTTAATTTGTGAGAAAATATTAGAGTACAGCATTAAATTATGGTTTAAAAAATAAATACATTTAATATTTTACTTGTTACGGTAAAATCATTTAAAGATAAATATGCCATACCATGTTTTCTGGGCACTTTTTACAAATAGTATCAGGTCCTCCATTATTAGAGATCATCTGAAATCCTGGTATACACACACATGAAGTTCCTAAAAAGAAGAGAGTCAATTTTGATCGTGGTAAATAATAATAAAACTCCAAGACAGGAAAACTTTTCATCATTCTTAAGATCTAGAGAAGCAATATAGTAGTTAGGAGCAGGATTCTGGAGCCAGTACTGCCTGGGTTCAATTCCACAAACATACTTCTTGGGTTCTAGATTCTGCTACTTAGCTGCGTGACCGTGAGCAAGTTACTAAACTTTTCTGTGGTCTGGCTTCCACTTTGGTAAAATGAGGGGAAAGTACCTACCTCATAGGGTTAGTATGAGTATTAAATAAGTTTTACATGTAATGATCTTAGAATGTGTGTGGCACACACTAGGTATTGTGTTTGCTACCATTTTAAGTGCAAGCATAACTAAACTGTCAAATTATTTAAATAGGAAACTAATGATCAAGTTATTAACTGTTATGAGAAAGTTTACATTTCTATTTCACTCAACCATACACATATATTCAATTAACGTAAATTTACTTTGTCAAAACAAAACCTTATTGGGAAAGTTATATTGATTCAAATAAATCATATTCCTGTTTTCACAGATAATAAATATTATAAGATAATCAATATTCAATATGCTGGATACATTAGAACAACATTCTCTAAGGAAGCATGAAATGGAAAATAACATGCAGAGGAATTTATGCAGAATGCATATGAAATCTAGGTTCATTATTATGAAACTAACACCATACATTCTAGCCTATGAAATTCTTTCTCATTCTTATTTCCTCAACTGAGGAGCTTGAACTGTCCTATATGATGACTTAAATGAGGATATGTCAAATTTGAAGATGGGGGAAAGTTTATACAATGAGTGACTAAATCAGGATTAAAAACATCTTAGACTTTGGAAAATGGGAAAAGTCTTATTCTAAGCAGTTTCAGTGAGACCTAGGACCAAATGATGGATGTTTCAACAACAAAAATTTAAGATTAATCTAAAGAGAGTTTAAGGACAATTAGAAATGTTAAATAATAAAAAGGACAAGTCCTAAGGAAATCTATGATATTACTGACACATCTTATAGTGGAAATACATAGGTAGAGACTGAGGGCAAAGATACACAATTTCTTCCAGGCCCCAATTTAACTGACAAAAAAGGACATTACAACCTCGCTGGACTTCAATTTCCTTATCCGTAAAATAAGACTGGACCTGCTCAAGGTTAAAGTACCTTCAGGCTCTAAGTTTCTGGGATTTGTAAATAAAAATAAAGGGCTATCAGAGTTTACAAGCGCTAATCTGCATTCCTTCCACGACCTGTCCTGTCACCTGCTCCTCTGCACCTCGGATTACTTCTCTATTTTTTCTGCTTTGGATAGGCAGCTTCCTAGGTGCTGGGTAAAAGACTCCTCAGCTGAGCAGTGAGGGACTGGCGCCGAGCAATTAATTACTGGCAACAGCTCATGGGGTAGCGGACACGGGGTTCCCCAACCTCATTAGAGTGTAAACTCCAATCCTCCGACGAAATCCTTTTAGGTGTTAGCAGTTAACTTTCCTGATATATTCTTCCCGCAGACGAAAAGGCGTTTCAGCGACGCCGGAGGCTGGACACAGTACCAACGCAGGCGGGTTACTTGGGCCAGGGCCCACCCCAAATCATCTCACCTCGGGCGTCCTGCCTCTGGTTGACTCCACACCGGACACAGGAGAGCGCGGAGATGTCGAAATACTGGTGGTGGCCGCACATCACCGGCTGCTGGAAAGGTAAGGAGAAGGTCTGGGCCTGTGAGAAGCCAGGGAGGACCAACAGCAGAAAAACAGTCACAGCCACATTCGAAAAGATGAACCGAGCCGCCATTGCCACCCCAACGCCACTGCCGCCGTTACTATGGTGCTGACGCTGGTGGTCGCGCAGTCTCCGGCGTCCCGTCAGCCTCTGCGGCGACTCAGAGCCAATGAGACAACTGGCTTGAGGTTCCGGAAGTGTCTAACAACTGTTTAGTTGCTAGGTTACCAAAGCCGCGGAAAAGAGTGGATTAAAAGCAAACTAACCCTGGAACCTGGCAGGCGCAACTCGATACTTAAAACATTTGCTTCAAAATTCTAGGATGCGACCCATTAGCAGGACGTGAAATCAACTAGGAGATCTGGAAATAAAATACCACAGGAAAGAAAATATCAGATTGTATCGCACAAATTAAGAGTAAGCATGGTTTCCACACAATTTCCGCACAATTTCCGTAAGCCAGTCACGAGGTTCTCGTGAGATATCAGCTGCTTCAGTACCAAGCGCTGGTGTCTGGCAGGGCCACTGTGAGACCAAGAGACAGTCTTTCCTTGCCGCCGGGATAATCAAGAGAAAAGGTCGGACCTTTGAGCACACATGGAGATAGTGAGGGTCCAGACGCAAAGCATCGACTATGGCCTGAAACGCCATAAGGAACTTAGTGATTTGGCCCGTGACCCTGCAGTACAATGTTCTGCAGGTCCAATTGGGTATATGTTTCATTGGCAAGCCACAATTACAGGGCCTAATGACGACCAATGTTGAGGTGGTGTATTCTTTTTGACATTTCATTTTCCTACAGACTACCCCTTCAAACCACCTAAGGTTGATTGTATTTATAACAAGACTTCATCAAAATATTAATAGTAATGGCAGTATTTGTCTCAATATTCTAAGGTTACAGTGGTCTCCTGCTTTAACTATTTCTAAAGTTCTTTTATCCATTTGTTCACTGCTATGTGATCCAAACCCAGATGACCCCCTAGTACCAGAGATCGCACCAATCTGTAAAACAGTCAGAGATAACTACAGCAGAATATCTTGGGAATGAACTCAGAAGAATGCCATGTAATGCCACCTTGAAGTCATAACTTGCATTATAGAATACACTTTAAATTACTGTTCTTTTTATTTATTTTATTTATTTTATTTTTGATTTTTTTATCTGGCTGCTCTCCTATCACAACTCATCTTTTTAAATTTTATTTTCGTTTACCTCCATTCATTCACATGCTCACCTGAGAAGACTTAAATTCTTCCAGTTTTTAGAAACTGTAAAGTAGTAACAAGAGAACAGTTGCCCAAGATTCAGAATTTTTTAAAAAAACGGGCACATGTATTACGTGGCCAGTGTATTCACTCTAACTTGGTTATGAGACTAAAACCATCCCTTACTGCTCTAACATACTGAAGAAATCATCTGTGGAAATGGGAGATGGATGTGTAGCTGTCACATCAAAGGAAGCAGCATTATTTTAATAACATCTATTCTTGTTTAAGCCTTCTACTGTTAGAGATCTGAGGTTACATTATACATATATATATAATGTTCTTGTTCTACAGGTAATGGAAATTGGAAGTCAAACACCCTTTGTATTCCAAAATAGGGTCTCCAATATACTATAATCTTCATTTAAATTGTTAGGAGCCTTGGAGCTATTCATTAATCTATCTTCCAATACATTGTTTAATACAGCACTGAATAAATGATGCAAGTTGTCAATAGATGAGTGATCAACTAATAGTTCTGCTAGTAATTGATTTATTTTTCTTCAATAAAGTTGTATAAACCAATGAATTAGCTGCCTGGATTAATCAGTATGAGAAACAATCTTGTAAATGCCTAGTTGTTTTGCGCAAATACTGTTGAGATTTGCTTTATTGTTTGATGTCAAATGACAATGTAAAGTTCAAAAGAGTGAATATTTTACCATGTACATTTAAAAGTGCTAAATCTGTTACAGGTTGACACATTGACCTGATTTATGCAGAATTAATAAGCTATTATCATCAGAACCAATTTAATAGGTCATAAAAGAAAATTTTATTTCTTAATATTTAAGTCTCACTTCTGTTATTATTGTATTTTGTATTTTTGATTGTTGTATTTTTGTCCCCACCCCCCGTAAAATCACCTGGCATATATTTAAGTCATCTTATTCATCAGTAGTAGAGAGGTATAGCAAAAAAAGGATGTGGAGGTCTAATGCTTTATGAAGAGGTTGGAACCAGAAATGGAAATTACCTTGGGTGTTCTAAACATTATTGTGTTGTGAATCCCCAAGCTGAGTTATTGAGCATTTGTATGAGTATACGCTTCTCAGGCACAATAGCTCTCTACGGTGCTTTCTCTCAGGGGCCTCATAATCTAGTAGAGAAACAGACATAGAAACAAATCATTAAAATATGTTGAGATAATTTATCCAATTGAGACTGTGAAACTGGAAGATGACATTAACTCTGCCTTGTGGGGTGGGAAGGAGATCAGCAAAGAAGTCACAGAGGAGGAGATATTATAGGACAAGACAGGGCCAGCAGAAACAGACTCAAAGGCTTGAGACAGCAGGCACATTGGAGAATGACATGTCTTTCAGTATCCTTGAGGTGCAGGGTGTATACATGGTCAGTGGTAGGAAATAAGATTGAAAAGAAAGGAAGGAATGAAAATGAAGGCTCTTGAATGCTTATAGTTGCCTTCCATGATTTTAAGTTTATTAAGACTTAAAGCTAGGGAATAATATGATCAGATTTGCATTTTAGGAAATAACCTGGATAAGAAGTATATAGAAACCTCTAGAGATAGAGATCACTTGGGCGGCTAACTCAGAAATTTAGGGTCTAAATTAGGGTAATGGAAGAAGAGAGAGCCAGAAAAGGATGAATGAAAGAGCAGTTTAGAAGGAAGAATTGTGAGAATGTTATGACTTGAACAAAGAAAGTAAAGAAACAGAGACAAGGATCACTCTGATTTCTGATTTGTGTGGCTGGGTGGATTTCGTCATTGAAGGAATGTAAGAATGATCTGGAACTGATAAAAACTTCATATTGAACGAAGAAAAATATTAAAGGTAGAAATTAAAGTTATAGGAATTATCTAATATGTTGGTGGGAGGGTGGTGGATAATAATTGAAATAATTGATATTAATTGCTGGCTTTCAGTGTGTCAATCACTACAATATCTAATTTGATAAAATTGAGACCATTATCATTACCTTAACTTTACAAATGAGAAAACCAAGGCTTAGAAAGCATATATGACTTCCTAAGGTCATGCTCGGATCATGATTCTAACCCTAGCAATTTAATACCAGAATCCACACTCTTAACACTGATTCTTTACTTCTGTTCTGAATATGCTTTTCTAGGCATTAATCTTTTTAAAAAAGGAAAGGCAAGTGAACCAATAAGGGGATTGATGAATTAAAATATTACAAAGAATATGAAGAACAACTTCAAAGTGCAAAAGTGGAGGTGGTAGTCAGAAAGGGGAATTAGAGAAGTCAAGATCTTACAGTTGGGACATTTTGTGCGGTGAGCTCTAAACTTTTCCCCAATCTCTAGATTCTTAGTGCTAATGCTTACTAGATATAAACAACTGCCACATCATATTCAGTATGTTCCCAACTGAACTTGGCTTTCATGATGGAACACTCTTTTGGCTTTCCTGTAGGTTATTCCTAGAATAAACTTTCTGCCTTTTGTAGGCTCAGCCTCTTTTACTTGGCTATTAAACATAGTATCCCTAAGGGCTCAGTCCTAGACTTTTGTCCCTTCCTTTCTTTCCATTCCTTGTTTTCCCTCCTAAGTGATGTCAAACATGTCCATCCAACTTGTAATATAGGTCAAAAAATCTAGGGGCCACTAACAAGATGGACAAGGGGCCACTTGTCCATTAACAAGAACTCCTGATTTTCATCTTCTAAATAACTCTTGGATTTATTGCACAAGTATCTCTAAAATTTATTTTTCTTAACCTGTACTATCACTACCACCCCGAACTGCTTTCTTCTTCTCCCATATGAATTACTGCAATGACTTATTTTAAAACTTAATTTTTCAGTTTTAGGCATTATCAATTGACTGCCTGCTATGGAAGATGAAGACTTACTTTCTACCACATTTTCTACACTTGATCTTAGCTGAAAGGCTGAGAAGCAATACTACCACATTTTCTGAACCCCTTCATATTTCTAATATGTATATTTTATAATTTAGAGTTAAGGTAGTAATCACTTTTACATTATTATGACTACTTAAGTGTTATTCACAATTGAGTCATGTACCATTTTCTCTTTAATGTGTCTTCTTTGCTTCTTATCCAGTGCTGTCATTAATTCCTAAATTCTTCCTCAGAACTATTAATCTCCTTTCAATATATTTAATACAGTTAGTATATGCCAGGTTTTCCCCTATGTGCTTTTAGTTTTTCTAATAGCCCTTCGAAGAAGATATTGTTGTCCCCAATTTATAGATGAGGAATTTAGACACAGAGAAAACCAATAAGAACTGGTATTAGGATCCAAGCATCTATATTCTTTTTTTTTTTTTAAGGAAAATATTTAATTTAATTATTTTTATTGAGTTATAATTGATATAACATTGTATTAGTTTCAAGTGTATAAAATAATGATTCGATATTTGTATGTACTTTGAAATGATCACAATAAATCTAGTTAACATCCATCACCATACAGTTACAAAAATTGTTTTTATTGTGATGAGAATGTTTAAGATCTACTCAGCAATTTGCAAATGTTCTACGCAGTATTATTAACTACAGTCACCATACTACTATATATTACATCTCCATGACTTATTTATTTTATAACAGGAAGTTTATATCTTTTGGCCACCTTAACCCATTTTACCCAACTCCCATCCCCTGCCTATGGCAACCATCAATCTGTGTGCTCTGTATCTATAAGCTTAGGTTTTTTGTTTGTTTGTTTGGTTGGTTGGTTTTATTTTATTTTTTTAGATTCCACATAAATAGGATCATATGATATTTGTCTTTCTCTGGCTGACTTATTTCACTTAGCGTAATACCCTTAAGTTTCATTCATGTTGTTGCAAACATGTTTTCATTCTTTTTCATAATAATATTATTTCATTATATTATTAAAATAAT